GTGGATAATGCCACGTGGCCTAATAAAATTTGGAAGTTTCGGGCATTTGGGTAGTTCGAATGGGTAGCTCGAGCACTCGGGCAGTTTTGGGCAACAAGTTAAACACTCCTCTATAAAAGGTTGATGTATAATTACTTACACTCTATGCACTCTTTTATGCATATACAACTATATACAATTCATATTATTCATCATCTCCTCCATTACTATTCACTTGAGCGTCAAAATTTCTACCCCAGGACAATTTCCGCTGCTATTTTGCAGATCTTTAAACCGATCGAGGAATGGTCAAGGACATTCAATCAGGTTGAGATCATCTTACACTACCATAAAGTGTATAAAAGACTAAGATTCTAGAGACATGTTAAGTTAGGAAAGTGGCTACGGTTTGATCTCTTTCCTATCAAAAACTCTATTTGGGCATCAAGACACCCAAATAAATAAATGGTGTGGTTAGCTTTTCTCAGAATATATACGCACCAAATATACAATACTCTCACTATTTTTCATGAACGAGTACTAGCTTGAGCGTCGAAGTTGTTTCTGTCAGGCCTCCTCCCCAGCGCATTGAAGTTCACCGAAGGTCGAGGCATAAGGCACTTCGTGGTGGATTCGATTTATTTCGATTGAAGGACAATTTTCTTTATCATATTTCCCCATTTCTAAATAATGTAGGAGGGGCAGAGAAGGGGATAATAGATTTGGTGTTGGAGGCCATAATGGTGCAATTTGGACGTGACATGATAATAATAAGACCATTGGCATTGGCAGCCATGTCTGACCATGTTCCATACCACCATTTCCTCTGTGAAAAATGACTCATCCAATGAATTTGGCCTTAAGAACTAATAAGACTACAATGCTCAACAAACCGTGCCAACTCGAGCTAACTCGACATGGCTGCCATGTCGATCATTTGATGAAGATATCGAACTGGATGCCCAAACTGATTAGTTTGTAGACAATATCTTAAATTTGATTAGTTAGTAGAATTTCTCTCTAAAATCGCAGGCAAAAATGGTATATATTCCAAGTTAGAAGGCATATCTTTCAATTTTTGCTAATCCACATTATATTGTAAAATTATAAATGTACTATGGAAGGATTTAGATTTCGAATCCGCTCAAAATGAGTTTTTTTTTGGTTAACCGGAGATAATTTTGAAAATAGTTTTATGGTTAGTTGTTAGTGGATTTTGATTTTATAATGAAATAATATTTAAAATAAAATAACTAAAGTTGATTTGATGTAAAAGTATGAGAGAGATGATGTGAAGTGACAGTTAATTTAAATTACGTGAGTTGATGAATAGTAAATTAAAGTTGATGTGAGATGTAAGAATTATTGGTTGATATTATTTTATTATATCGATAATAATGATGATAGTGTAGTTGAATTAGATTTTGAGTATAAATTGACTATATGTTTGAGTTTTTTTTTTTTTTTTTTTTTT